CAACCAACTGAGCCACTCTTGCTGGACCTGGTGATTTTCTTTATTGGATGTTAGGTATTGTGAATTTTACCTTGTTGAGTGCTTAATAGCTTTGTATTTCTATAAATTTTATTGAGTGTTCTGGGATGCACTTACGTTATTTGGAAACAGTTTAGTCCCCTCAGATCTGGCTTTTAAGACTTGTTAGGTGGAACTGGTGTAGTGTACAATTTGGGGTAAATGATTCCCTACTGCTAGTGATGACTCTTCAGTACTCTACGCACTGCACATGAATCACAGGGCCTTCCATTCAGCCTGGAGAGAATGTATACTGTTCCTGGCCCTGTGTGAACACCAGGCACTGTTACGTCTAATCTCTCCATTGGTTCTTTTTTTCAGTCTTGGGTATTTTCTCACAGCATATGTTGATCAGTGCTCAGCTGATTACTCAAGGCTAACCCTCTGTACTCTCCTAAATGCTCTTTCTGGAGAGAACTTTCTACTCTTTGGAACTCTCCTGTGAACTCTCGCTACCTTGGTTCCCTGCACTCCCAGCCCCATCTCTTCAACTCATGGATTTTGCCAGGTTCTTCCTCCTTGCACCACAGTCTAGAAACTTGCTCAAGGCAGAAGGCTGGTGCAGCCGTAGGGATCAGGATTATTTTGTTCTCTCTCAGGGAATCACTGTTCCTCATTGCCTGGTGCCCCAAGTATTCAGATCTGTTGTGCTATGTATTGTTTCCATTTTTTTGTTTGTTCCATGTAGGAAGATCCAGTTCCTCTTACTCTACTTTGACCCGAATCAGAAACCTCTGGTTTTAAAAAGAAAGCCACCGTTTACATACCTTTTAAATATAAACAAATGTAAAATTAATAAAATAATTAAGATTAATATAAAAATTACATTCAAATAAATTATTACAAACAAAAATTCAAAGTAGTTATTTCCTCTAGGAGTCAGCCTGAAGAAAGACTAATGTGTTGTAGTGAATTATAGATACTGTATAACTTGCTCTAATCTATTTTATCTGGTTCCTATATATGTTATAATTGATGATGAAATATTTTTGTTGTATGCAGTTTTGATTTTTAAACATGAAGACTAGAGCTGAACTGTTGTTGAGTCCTTTAGTTTTTAAGAGGCAGGATATTTTATTGTAGAAAAAGCACAGATTTAGAGTCAAATGGACTGGATGTTGAATCCTAGCTGTGTGGCCTTGGGCAACTTAAATAAGTTTTCTGAGTTTGGCCTCTTTCCTGTGTAAAATGGCCACATTGTTATGAATATTAAATGAAAATGTATAAAACACCTATCCAGTGCCCCACACATAGTAGGTGCTCAAGAAACAGTCTCTTTTCCTGCCTGCTGTCTGACATCAAGTAACTGATTCTCTTTTAATAAGACGTTTCCCAAAATACCTCAGATGTTTCAGGTGTCTACAAAATCCACCTAAAATGTCACCCACCAAAATAATAGGGACAAAAAAATGTTGAGGGAAAGAAGAAAACAGCTTTGGGAACAGTGACTCATGTTGCCTTTCCTTTGATGCTTACACATTTAAACATTTCTTCTCACCTAACAGTATTTCAGTGCACAGAGTACATTCCAAAGGGAAAATTGATGTTAACGGGATTGGAGGAAAATAGGGAGCCTGAATAAAATGTAGGCAAACAAGGGAAGTTGAGGCTGGAAAGCTGTGTTGAAACCAAATTGTGGAAGATAGCATTTATAGGCTGAAATGTGCCCCCCCCCC